TCATTTTTTTTGGCACGGACTAAAAAGGAAATAAGTTCACATAAATTGAAACGGAGAGTTATAATTTTTAGCTGGCCGGGAAAACCGATAGAGTTCTACAATTTGTAGTTGCCTTAATTATTTCAGGCAGAAGAGTAAATATCAAACTAGGTCCTTGCCCATATCTTACTATACGTAAGTACAACTCAAGTATTATTTTCTATTTAGTTTCAAGGATAACCGGATTTAAAGGAATTGTCGGTAATTGACATCCACTTGTTGGTTTCTGTACATCTGGCCACTAGTACAGCCACATCATGATTCATGTTTTAACCTATCATCCTGACTAGGATTAAGTAATGTTGTTCCATCTTTATTCTTTGACTTTCTAGTCCCACTTGATCTTTAATGCTAGAGCATATTGTAATAAGAAAAAGTGGGAGACACTGCTTCAGTATAAGTCAAAATTGCTCTTAGAAAAATCACTTTCAGTAATCAGTAGGATGCCCACTTGACTTAATTGTTTAAGAGATTAGTTGGCCTTTCTTGTCGTTGCATGTTCACATCGCTATTGTCCATTGATAGAATAACTTTACGTTAATCCAATAAATACGTAATAACTGTCTTTATATACATTATTATTACTTAGCAATAGTTAACTAATACATATTTTTGTATCGATTTAATCACTTAAGTTCATTAAAAATGTGGTTTGGTCTAAGTGAGTGAAAATTTTCCTGACTCTGGAGTCTTGATGAACATGATTCTCCAACTTTTATCGTTTCTATTTCTGATGCTACTTTTACTCCCTTTTTTGACCGTACGGTGAAAAAGCTCAGAGAAGAGTTGATGCTGGCATTGGTGGAGGCAACAAGTGATGGTGAGAATGGAAAAGGAGGGATAGAGAGTTCAACTTCATTACCATCCTCATTCAATGATCTTGTGAAGGACATGACCTCTAGTGGACAAGACATCAAAGCTTTCGCTTTCAAAACTAAAGCTATGGTAACAAGCAACCTTTTACTTCCTGCTTTCCACTTTACATTTAGTTCGCTTTTCTTGCGGGTCATTTCTTTTTATTTATGAACTGCAGCCATAATTCTCGTATACCTAACGTTGTATTTTAGTTTCTAAGTAGTTGGATAATATATTTTTTTTCCAATCCTTTTATCCGTTCCTCTTTGGTTGGAGAATCTTGAATAGAAAATGCACAAGTAGGCCACTTTGTCACATGAATAATCAGACTGCCTGCAATGCTCCATCACTCAAGCAGTGCTGCATGTTTGTTTTGGAATGCGTAATGGCCCAATCCACTTGTTGGCCTTGGCCCTCTGTGTAAAAGTATTCTCTTTACCTACCAATAATACGAGCTAAGGCAATCCTATGATTGCAAATGTTCTGTAGTTACAACTTTAGTAGACAGCTACATTAAGCAATTAAATTACTGGGCACTAAAGTCTGAGCCAGAGTTTCTAAAAAATGTCAATTTTCAGTTAATTTATAGGAGTAGATATTATCGATCATGCCATTTCGGAAAATCTTCCTACTTAATTTTCAGGTCTGTCAAAGCTCTGCTTAATGTCCGAAAAATGGAAACTTCACATAGAAACTGTTTTCCACCTTCGTGGAAGGGGCATTTGCATTGTCAGGATATAGATATTTTTGTCCTCATCTAGCTCCACTAGCCAAGAAAAGCCAAATTCAAAATCTTATCGTTTCCTAGGTTCAGCTACATGTCAGGAATGTATCGAATCTAATCAAACTACTAATTTTAGAAGCTTAGATGGCAGTTCTAATAGCTTCTTTGCATTGTCTTTCTAAGTAAGGTATTGTATCAATGCAGGCCTGGTTCAAGGGATTCAGAGGGTTATCCCAGTATAGATTTTGGAATTAAATTTATCCTGTATTATTTTTATACAAAAATTGTTAATATAACTTATCAGTTATAGAAGGTGTGATAGTTGTCAAGGTTATAGTCCTGGTTTTAATCCCGAGATTATATATCCTGGTTGTGAACCAAACAACCATACCATACCCTGCTTCTATATCCTGAAGCCGAGTCTAAAATGCTGAGTAGTCCAAATCTTTCTTTACCTGTGGAGGAATAAGCATCTTACGGAAGATTTTTGGCAGTTTGGACCCAAAGCTATCTAAGCCAGTTTTTGGTAATGGCTAAAGTAAATTGAACTAGGAAGAGAGTCAATGCTGACGAACAGAGTGAGTCCTTACTCTGATTCCTTGCAAGTAGCGATATTCACAGATATATAGGACTAATAGAGGAAATTAAAGAGAAGAAAATTCTTATCAACCTGAAACCAGAATTTTCATTTAGATTCTTCTCTAAAGGGTACTCCCTCTATGCGCGTGGTCCGGGGAAGGGCCGGACCACAAGGGTTTATCGTACACAGTCATTCTAGGATGTTAGAAACTCATTGTTGGCCTTTCCTAAGCTTCGGTTCCACATTCTACTTGCATTTTTAGTTGAAAATACATACTTGGGACCTTGTTCTTTCCGGACACTTAACAATCAGTTCACTACCTTACAAGTGACATGACTTCTTTTTTTAACTCGCTGAAAATTTCTCGATTATAGAGTAGGTCATAGCAAATTAAATGGAGCACCGTTGTATTGTTATAAATATTTGAAAAAGTTGTATGCTTCTTTCCTTTGTTTAGATAGTGAAGATGGAGAAATTGGTAGAATCAGCTAGACAACGTGAGTCTATTTTCTGGCATTTAGCTTCTCACGGTGTACCAAAGGGCATACATTGCCTATCTCTCAAGTTAGCTGAAGAATATGCTGAAAATGCTGCCGCACGTTCTCGCTTGCCTCCCCCTCAATATGTTTCACGCCTCACTGACCCTTCCTTCCATCACGTAGTTCTTTTAACAGACAATGTACTTGCTGCGTCTGTTGTAGTTTCCTCAACCATTAAAAACTCAAGTATCCCAGAAAGATTGGTATTTCATATAGTTACTGATAAGAAGACATACACCGCGATGCATGCATGGTTTGCCGTGAACTCAGTTAATTTAGCTGTCCTGGAAGTAAGAGGATTGCATCAGTTTGATTGGTCTCATGAGGTGAATATCGGGATTAAGGAGATGATAGAGATCCATCGATTAATCTGTAGACACAAATTTGACCGCATGAAGAGGGAAACTTTGGCAAACGAGTATGAAAATGATAAGGATTTGCAGTATCTACGGCCTAGCTGTGCATCCCTTTTGAATCATCTGCGCATCTATATCCCTGAGGTAATTGCTTAATTTAAGTATTTAACATTGTTTTCACCAACAAAATGATGATCTTTAATAAGAGACATTCAATGAATAATTGATTTTCTCATATAATTTCATGGGTTCACAGCTCTTTCCAGATCTGAACAAGATTATATTTTTGGACGATGATACTGTAGTACAGCATGATTTATCATCTCTATGGGAACTGGATCTCAACGGGAAAGTTGTTGGTGCAGCTTTTGACTCGGGCTGTGGAGATGGCTGTTGCCCTGGAAGAAAGTACAAAGATTACTTCAACTTTACGAGCCCTGTTATATCATCTAACCTGGATTATGATCGTTGTGGATGGCTTTATGGAATGAATGTCTTTGATCTTCAAGCTTGGAGAAAGACTAACATCACTGCGACTTACCATCACTGGCTTAAACTTGTAAGTATAGATCAACCTGAATATGTTGAATCAAAATTATAACTTGCCTTATTATTAGTTCTAAATGCCTATTACAAGGGTCTCACGAATACTTGGGATGTGCATTATGCATAGCTGCTGCTGCAGAATGTTTGAAAGTAGAGCATTTTGTGTCGATTATCATGTGAAATTACACAATTGCTAGCTTATATCTCTTCAGACAGGTTTTTCATGCTATCGAAAACATTTGTCAATAAGGGGTTAGCTTTCTGTTCATAAATAAAAGAGGAACGATCAATCTTATGGAAATCTAGCAATCTTGTCCATTCTTATTTATTTTAAGAAGCTGCTTTAACAGTGTGTTTTGACGATATCATGACTTTGACCTCTTAATTCTATTTTGCAGAGTCTCAACTCTGGTTTTGAACTGTGGAATCCTGGAGCACTTCCACCTTCCCTGATTGCTTTTGAGGGTCATGTGCATTGGATTGAACCTTCGTGGCACATTGCTGGTTTAGGTTATCGATCTGTTATGAATGTCACAGAGTCTATACTGGAGAACGTAGCTGTTGTACATTTCAGTGGACCAGCCAAGCCATGGCTTGAGATTGGGAGCCCTGAGATACGAAGCTTATGGAGTCGCCATGTAAATTTCTCAAACGAATACATTAGGAAATGTGGAATCATGGGGTGAATGGAAGGGGACACAGTCTTACTCTCAACGTGAAATATGTCGTAATTTATTCTTAAGATATATTCTGAGTTGGAGGGAAGAAGGTACAGCCTTCAGTCTCCGATCACACCACTGTAGTCACTGTATAGACTAAGCTAGCGTGCCATACACTACACAGCCTAGATGTTTGACAACTTTCGTGTATTAGGTTGATAGATATAAAGCTATTGTAAAGTCTTTTTTCCACGTTTCCGTACCTATAATAATATCTTAATTATTCTACTCCTTGAAAACTCTTCATCTTTCTATATATTGAAGTCATATGTAGCTTAGTTTCGACCTTCCACGAAGCTTGGATGACTATTTTAATGCTAGTAAGGGCACTATCAGATGTACAAACATTAAGAGAAATAAAGAATCAGATGTCCACTTTTACTAATTTTGAAAAACAATCTGAAATGAAGAACAAAAACGTGTATTTTAGATAAACTATCAACTGAGGTGAAATGGCTATAACTGACCATGTTACTTTTCTAAACACATAATAGAAATCCAAATAACTTTAAGTTAACCATAAGATTTCTTCAGTAAAATGACTAAGCCTTTCCTTGTATAAAATATCATGTACTTTCATGTAATGACAACCAGTTTAAATACATGAGCCAACGGAGGGAAGTCCACCCTCTACGATAAATATGAAGAGATTAATAGCTAGTTTTAAAAATTATCACTAGGTTGCCATACAACAGTTTATAGCATTTATAGAAAGCCTGTAAGAGTAAAAGGCAACATCAAACAAGATTTCATTCCTTAATTAACAGATGACTGAATGCTTGAAAATAAACAGTTAAAATCTCAGTGGTGATAGTTCTGATGATTTACAACTATAGGTTAAAATTGGAGTGACGTTTCTGAAGATGAAGGAAGACCCCTCACCCAAATTCAGAAAACTTGATAGTAGAGCCCTCCAATATATCAGCTGCAGAAATAACATCAGGCAGGAAAAAAAGGGGAAATAATCAGTTAGAGATTATTGTAGCATTACTTTTAAATATGTCCATTAAGATATAGAAAAATATACAATAATCTTGCATACAAGAGCTCAGCTTCAACATTATTTCAAGTAAGCTAAGAGGATGGCATATTGTTGGCTAGCTGTATATGAGACATACAAGCTTCTCAAAATTTTGCCAACTTCAGAAAACTTCCCACTATAGCCTTAGGTCCTTCTTAGATTAGACAAAGCATCTGGTCCTTCATTAAGATTTTGACCAACTATGTACAGCATAGATCAAGATGGGGTGCGGCCTTTCCCTGGATCCACTATGAACGCGAGATGCCTTGTGTACCAGGTAGAAATGACACCAGGCAGCCACTCTAAGGGCTGTTATTTAAGAATGAGCCAATGCGTCATGAATTTCACTTTTTCAGGACAATAATGTCCTGAATTTTAGTTTAAAATTTTAGAACAAAATAAATATCGGCGAATCTCTAAAAAGCATCCATGAGAATGGTTATATGTGCACTTACCCTTAGCTGCCTTTTTATTTTTATTTTTATTTTTTATGTACAGCATAGAGGAGGATACATAGTATGAAAGTATTTGACCAGTCAACCCAAAACAACTAAGGAAATGGATGGAGTAGTCTATGACTTTTTATTATAAACTCATTTGGAAGTCATTACACAATCTGACTACTATCTAACTCAATACCTTTATTTCCGACTTCTTAGGGACAAATTTCACTAGAAATGTTCTTATACGTAATATGTTGCATCAATATTAATAATTTTACCTTTGAAGAGATAAACTCAATACCAGCCAACATGTGTAACCCGATTTCAAAGTTCATACATAAACCTCAATGCGAATTTAAACTAGTGTGAGAATGAACTTACACACATGGTTAGCTTTGATATCTTGTTGAAAGAATCTGAACATCCTACTTAAAACCTTAAGATCATGGGTTCAATAGTTCAAAACTTATAAATTTATTGGAAATTCCTTCTGCAATTCTTGTGAGACTCCTAGGTAACTCAACCGGACACAGTTGATTCATAATTATAATGAAATGGGTAATACTCATTCTGCCTAGAAGATAGTGGTATAGTGGAGTTAAGTTTTCAGATTCCACTTATTATTTTCAGTGCAATCACACCAGTATCGGATCCTCCAAAAATACACTAGGAAGATCCGACACGCAACCGGCAATCTTCTCTGAGAGTCCGAGCAACATACATTTTCACATATCATGTCTTAAGGCGGGTTTAAGTTATATATACCTATTGGTGCTGACGGGTTATTTTTTTGTGTAATAAAATAAGTTAAGGCAGATATCAAAGATTGAATCAGAATGAGATATTTTACTACTCTCTTCAACAACTTCCTAGAAAGGTTAATGGGTTAATTCAACTAGATAGATGGCAACTCCCTACTATTAGACGAAGATACGAAAAATGTAATTTCTTTGTTAGTTGATCTTTTAGAGTATGATGAAAGGATTGAATAGGCTGCTTCCTTTCATAACAAATTGGAAGATTGATTCAATCAGTCTTTATTGTAGGACCCTCTTCTATCTTTACTTTTTTGCTTATGAATAGACATGGTAGGGGTCTTGTCTAACCCCCACACCTAAGGCAATATGCCTGAAGGAAAATTTCTATGTTAGTTAATTGTTCGTTGATATGGACTGGAAGACTAAATTTTAACTTCTTAGTCCAATATTTTGAAAGGTTGAACCCATTCAATCTTTGATGTAACAGACATCAGGCCTAGTCCCCCTCCTTCTGTTATCTTTCGCGTTGGAATGAAAGCACACCCAATATCTAAAGGGTGGGATTAAATAAATAAATAAAAAGTTGGTGGGGGAAAGAGAAACTTACACAAGCTGGAGAGCAGTTTGGTCGTCGTGGCGAGAGTAATGGGGATTAGGTTCCAGCAGATTTACAGGCAGGAAGTTGCGAGCATCGTTATAATTCTGAGAAGTAGTCATTGGCTGCTGCTGCTGATTGTATTCAGATCCTCCTGGCATCAAGTTCATTTGCTGTTGTGCTCTCTCTACCTCCGCTATCTGCAACATCTTTGAAAGATTAATTTTGAAGTTGAAGTAATGTTATTTTTATAATAATAGTATCATATAAATATATGGACGCAAGGAGATATACAAATGCATTATTAAGAAAAGCATATTACCTTTGCTCGTAGATACATGTTGGCATTCTGCAGATCAATCTCCTGCAACAAGTTATTTGGCTTTCTTTAAAGATGAAAATAGAACATATATATAACCACTACCCTCTTTGTCATCAATATGCAGGGTTTAGCAAAAAAGGTTTTAACGAAGGTCTATCATAAACAATCTCTATTCCTTTTCAGGATAAGAGTAATGCGGCGTCCTTGTGGGAATACACTGCGTGCAGGGTTTAACAAAAAAAGTTTTAGTATGTAAAGCACAGGAATGAGTGGTTTTACCCTCTTTTGCATGAGCTCAATTTCTGAGAAGAGCAATTCATTCTGGAAAATCATAAGAACGTGTCAATCAGGATAATCGGAAAACTAGTGGAATAAGCTAACAATAAGTGGAATTTACCTTTTTGGAACGGACTCTACCAATGGCCTTCTCAAGTTTCCCTTCCAAATTCTTTAGGTCCCTAGGGCTTAAACTGCTCAGGGCCTCTCCAACTATTTGCCTAAACAAAAAGCATAATCGTAAATCTAGTGAACTGTGCTAATTCATATTAGAGAAGATCTCTTTGTACTGACCTGTTATAAGTCTGTATATCTCGTATTTGTCGTCGCAGTTTGGCTGCTTCTTGCTGGTAATACTGAGAAAAATAAAGTTGCGTCCATTTAATCAACTCTATTATGATATTTACTTGAATAGGAGGATCAAATGCAAATGCACGCCACAAACATTTCTTTTAACATACCATTTCCCATTTGTATTTTTCTGTGATGGATACCAATTACTTTAGTTATGTTCCTATGTTTACTTAGTACGATAAGTCTTTTGTTTTGTCAAAGACTTATATGCCATTTTTCTGTGATGGATACCAATTACTTTAGTTATGTTCCTACGTTTACTTAGTACGATAAGTCTTTTGTTTTGTCAAAGACTTATATGCCGGTAGATAATGTCCAAACTTGAAGTGTTAGAGAAACTATATATTTATAATATAATATTAGACTAAGACGGACTTGGACATGATGTGCTACTAAAGACATTTTTATTTATTTAAAAATAAGAGGTCGTTTGGTAGGGCGTATAAGAATAGTACTGAGTTTGGTGTATTAATAATGTTGGAATTAGTTATGCTGAAATTATTTCTTATTGACTATTTCGTTTGATATATTAGAAATAACACGCATTGCATATTTTTTTTTCTTTCTAAAAATTGTTTGTTTATGAAAATACTCTCTATAGATTTAAAAAAGCTTTTGAAAGGTCAATTTTATCTTTATACATTTTATCCATATGTTAAAAATCATGATATTGCTAATGTAATGGTTTGCTATGTATAAAAAGTACCGAATAATGTGTATAACTAATACAGGTACTAATTATACGTAGGTTAAAAACACAACCAAATAAGGAATTAATAACACCAAAGCTAATACATATACTATTATTTTACCTAATACATCCTACCAAACTACCAAACAAAGATGCGCTGCAATATCAAAGAAGTAAAAATAGAAAACGCTATGCGAATACATCAAATATACTTATTTTTACTGTTGATGATGACTCAAGATCGAAGAATAACAAGTATACCTGAGTGTTAGCTTCAGAAACAGACCCTTGACTGGTGGAATCAGCATGGTGTTTCTTGTACCTATCAATGGTCGCCCTTACACTGCACATACCCAATTAGAATTGATAAACAAATTAAGGCTTTAACAGTACTCTAAATTAAACCGCATAATTATTTTCTCTTCATTTCCCTCAAAATAACTAAAGCCCGAATTAATTAAAAGCTTGCATTCTAACCAATTTAGAAGAAATCTATGGGATAATTATAGGCCAGCATCTCCTAACATTACTGTGTCAAATGTACCAAAAACCCTGGAGACTTTTTACAACCTACATTTTTCATAAATGTTCAAAAATTTACTCTCTATATAGTTTGAGAATATTAGACTTTTTGTCAAATTGCATCACAAGAAAAGTCTCACAGCCACCAAGCCCTTGGTGGAAAATTAAAAGAGATTTTCAAAGAAATCAATATAAAACCAGCATTCTCAGCTTAAATAGTTATGAACAACCAAGTCACACCAGCTTAAGTAGTTATTTTGTCCAATTTCATTAAATTATTAGCATTTATATATTTGGGCGGGGTGGGTCAAATGATTTTTTGGGTCTTTACAAACTTATTTTTAGTTTTATGATATATCTCTTTTTTTTTTTTTTTTTTTTTTTTTTTTTTTTTTTATATATATGAGAGATTTATTTTTACACTTAAAAAGATCTAAAAATGATACTTTCTTAATTTTAACATTGAAAATGGCCATGGAGGCCCATTTCCTCAATTGTTTTCCACCTCTCTTACCAAAAGAAACTAAATTAGGTAATAAGAACTTTTTTTGGGAGGCTATTTGTCAGTTGTGCAGTAGCAGTGTAAGTAGAATTTTAACACAATCAAACATTTAAATTTTTTATATAAGCAGAATGGTAACTTGATGGTAAGTTACCTGTTAGAATATGTAAAATATATTGATAGAGTAGAAGTCTATCACATGGTTTAATCTTTTATTTTTAGATTATTGCATGTTTGGCATTGTTCTTCATGATTGGAACCTAAGTACTAAGGGACGCCAAAGGGAAAATGATGAAAACTCTCACTATTCCATTGGGCAGAAGAAACAGCCCTAAGCAATATATGCACTCTTTATATTATGTTCTTTTTTGCAGACTAGAGGAATAAAATGTGTTATTTGTACATCATGCCCTTCTACAATTTTGAATTTAAGAAAATGACCTTTTTAGATCTCTTATGTGTAAAAGACAGATCTCTTACGTGTAAAAGTAACTATCCCATGTGTAAAATAAGAGGTAGGGTCATAAAACTAAAAACAAGTTTGTAAAGAGCCAAAAAACAGATTAACCCGCGGAATATTTACAATTCAAGAAAGAATATCGCATTCAATGGCACATTCAATAGGAAATAAAGATTCAGGAATTGATGATGATACACAAGAGCTAGACCCCAACATTGCTTTAGGGAAACAAATATTTTAGATGCTGCGCACATATGCGCAAAATATATATTCTTTCATTTTATAGTCAATTCTAATGATATTTCCTTCCACAATAAGATGGCTTCTAAAACTGAACAAAACGTCTTATCATTCCTTTAGATTTACACACCTAGAATAGCACAAGCGCATGTACAAGCATAATTTAGCTGATAACTCAAGTAATACAAAGGGTAAAGTCATCCACTTATGCAACACGAGGAAGTAAAATATCACGCTCTCTCTTGTTAGTATATCTACATTGTAAGAATGTATTGGGATCAACATAATAAGGTGTCACAGAGAGAAAAAAAAAAATACTAAAAGACTGTACTATAGTTTAATAAGATTTGGTTTATTGTTGGTTTGACTTCCCTAATGAATGCAACCCAGTACTACTACTACAACAACAACCCAGTATAATTTCACTAGTGGGGTCTGGGAAAGGTAGTGTGCACGCAGACCTTACCCCTACCCTGGGGTAGAAAGGTTGTTTCCGATAGACCTTTGGCTCCCACTGTACTATAGTTTAACAAGATTTGGTCAATTTTATTTTTAAAATCAATTGTTCCCATGACTGGGAGCAAGGTGGTGAGTTCTTGGAGGGAGGGAGACGAGGGTCTATCGGAAACAGCCTCTCTACCCCAGAATAGGAGTAAGGTATGCGTACACACTACCCTCCCCAGACCCCACTAGTGTGATTATATTGGGTTGTAGTTGTTGTTGTTGTACTGGGTTGTATTCATTAGGGAAGTCAAACCAACAATAAAAGAGAGGTGGATGTACACATCCTTACCTCAGCTGCCAAAAAAAAATAAAAATGGAGACCTATATCTACCTTACTAGTAGCAAAATTACAGGTTACAGTCTTGCTTACAAAAACAATAACAAAAAAAAAAATTACTTGCATAGAATCACAAAAAACTGAATTTTCTGTGTTTATGTCTGAAGGAGGTAATTAATTTGGTCAATTAACTTACATATGAATGATTCACTAAAATATAAAAAAGAGCCTGAGATTATTGAGAGAAAATTCTCTTCCTATAAATAAAACTCTCAAAACCTATGGGTTGTGTTACTGTGAGAAAAATATAAATGTGGAAGAGTTCTTTTCCACCAAAAAAATCTTTTTCTTTTTAACCGAAAAAAAACAATTTTAATTATGATAAAAAATCAGGGCAAACTAACAGAAGGAAGGTTTCTCTAATCTTATACTTCAAACGGTTTGTTTTTCTCCTCAAGACTATTATGCATAAGCACTGCACACGCTATTAGAGGCCTTCTCAATCGCCAAAAAGATTTTGATAGTAAGATCTTCCACACATTATTAGAGGCCTTCTACAACTAGACAAAATACAAAGGCACTCTCTTGGAGTTAGACTTCTTAACTCTCGATGAAGTGATATTTTCTTTGTATGCTAAGTTAGGAAATGGCTGTATTAGAATGTGAATGCTCATTCATCATCTAAAAAATCATGGAGGCAATGCATTTTTATTTATAAAAGAAGTAGTATATAATATATGAATCTATTTTGCCGTGACAACAACAACAACATACCCAGTATAATTTCACATAATGAGGTCTGGGAAAGGTAATATATACGCAAACTTTACCTCTACCTTATAGAGATAGAGATGCTGTTTACAATAGCTTTCTTGTGAAAAATGATATAATTATCTTTCTATATGTGGTTAAGAAGCAACATACGGCCTATCAAAATTTTGAAGTATAAACCTTTCAAAATTTTAATAGCTTGAAGGTGATCTTTGACGTGGTTACAAAGTGGATCGAGTACAAAGAGATGCTTAGCTTATCATAGAAGTACTAATTAAAAAGTTTTCGAGACAAATGCAATAAGGTGCTTATTTTGTCCTCAATTTGTCAATTACTATATGTTGTCAACTACTACTATCCCATCTTATAGGAAGCTGTTTAACTAGAAATTGTTAATTTGGTTAATGTATTATATTAGTGACAATAGAAGAAACTATTAAATATGATTAAATCATTAATTTGAGAGAGTAATCACATCAAACTTTAAAATTTAATTCATTAAGCTAATTGAAATTTTGAGAGTTGTAAATTTGTATAGTAAAAAATGTTAATCATAGGATTGTCTTTTATTTTTAAAAAAGAAAGATTATGATACAAAATTGTCAAAGAAGAGTTACTATTTGCCTAGAATAAGGACATCTTTGTACCTTATGATTTGTGTATTCCGAAAACTATTCTTTCTTTCTATTGGTACCTCATCCTAAAATTGAGGCTAGTTGCTTAATCTTATGTTGGCTCCTTATGAAGTAACAATGTAAAATGTTCATAATATCTCTCAAAATCATCTAAACAATTTTTGCCTTATCCTTTTGAAAATACTTTTGAAAAATCATTGACTGCAACCAGACCAGAGGAACCAAAAATTAAATTTCAAAATTTCAAAATTGCAAAATAAATTGCCCAACTTACAGGACATAATCTGGCACAAAATCTCTAGTATTGAGCGACAATGAGAAAAGAAAGAACATAATAAGGATTGATGTGTGCACACATCACCTATACATTTTTAGATCAACTGTGGAGTTTCTCAAATTCTTTTGCATTGTCAAGTTAGAATTTTTGTTTCGGTTGCCTTATATAATGAACTCTTTATTTTAGTAAAACCAATGTTACCATTTTAGAACTTTAAAAGAAGAAAAAACAGATAGTTCAACAAGATTTTTTAAAGCTAACTCATTCTGTTCTAATTTACTTCCTCCACTTTAATTATTTTTTTGGCTTTTTTGTTGTTGTCTATAATATCTGATTTTTTCAGATATCATGAAGGAATTAATTTCTTTTTTTCAAAGTTGCCGTTGGAGTAAAGATCTTAGGAGTATTTGTTATATTTTTAATGAACAAATTAAAGTTAATATGGTCAATTTAATTATTAATTAATGCTAAAAGTTAGATTCCTTAATAGATGTGAAAACAATCAAAAAATTATTTAAAGTGAACCGAATAGAGTATTTTATTCTGTTTCTTTTTTTAGTATGTTACAAAAGGAATTAATAGCATTTTTAAATATAAAGTAAATGTAATTTAAACTTTCATTTTACTTTTAACAAGTTATTACTGCCGCACAAATATTGGCATGTTGAAGAGTACAAATTTTAAAGTCTCAATTTCTTCCGGTTCATATAAATTAAAACCGAGGGAGTGAGTAAGTAGCTTTCTACCATATGCCTCGAGATTAGTAGGTCAAGAGGTTCAACTGGATTTTTTTTAAAGCTAATTCATTCTCTTCTAATTTATGTTAACCTTTTTTTTTTTAGTCTGTTACAAAAAGTATAATCTCTTTAAATTTGAAAAATTTGTAATTTAAACTTTTAATTTTACTTTTAAAAACATGTTCCACACAAATATCATAATATAATATTGAAGAGTACAAATTTTAAATGTCTCAATTTATTTCGAATCATATAAATTAAAACCGAGGGAGTGATTAAATAGCTTTCTGCCATATGCTCCGAGAATAGTAGGTCAAGAGGTCAAAATAAAACCAAACTTTTTCCTTAGAAAAAAGGAAATTGGTTTTGGAAATTGAGTCTTCTTTTGGGTTTCCAAGTATTATCCACTGGGTTAAGGATGAACTTAGCTTCTATGGGGAAGACCTGCAACTTACAGTGAGGGGAGAAGTTCTGTAACCTTAATTTCGTCGAGGCAGTGATTGGTTGTCCCCTGCCACGCTGGCGCAAGATCCCACAACATATTGGCTTGAATTCATGTCTCTATCTCTCTCCTTTTTACCCAAGGAATAATACCCTCAAGTTTACCCTTTTACCCATTCCCAAACATCCAAAACTTTATCTTTCCTTTGCAGTTTCCTCCATTATTTTATACTCTCCTTGTGTTTTTTAGTGTGTGTGTGTGTGAGAGAGAGAGGCTTTTAGTGAAGTCTTTCTCTTGTGTAAAGTGTTTTGAGTGCAGCAGATGAGAAGCAGTCAGTTCAAAGAGCAGCCATTCTATGGTTGCACGCTCTTCCTATGCACGAAAGACATCACATAAAAAGTGCAGTGACTCTCTTTCTCTTTCTTTCCGTACCCCTCTCTCCCCCAACAAATGGTGAAAAATAAGACCAAAATCTGATGAAATTGTGACCCTCTAATAGTTTGACTAGGTCTTCATACATATACTCTCCGTTTTCTTATTCATTTTAATGGACATTAGTTTAAGAAAGAATATCAAAAGTATTCTTAAAGGCCATACTTCTAAACCCTTTTTATAAGAACATGTAAAATTAGATGTTTAAAATAAATATTAAATTTTCAATTATAGAAAGATATAATTTTCTTAACCGAATAAAAAGGAAAGATATCAAGAGTATATGGAATTGCTTATGGCCCTGTTTAAGGAATTTTCCACCAGGTTAGCTGTTTAAGCTTAAAATTCAAATCAAAGTGTTGAAGATAAAACGCAAGAAAGATCTAAGTGTAGAAAGAAATACCGTAATACATAAAGAGTAAAAATTTACCCTTTGAGATAAAAAGTTCTTTTTTTTGAATGAAGTGAGTAGTGATAAAAGAAACCAACCGAGAAAAGGAATATATGACAAAACCTTCTTGTTGTTTAGCTCAGAACTGAAAATTCGTGTCTGACGTGACCAAATATTCGTGTTTAACTCCCGTATGATATGATATCTATGGTCCTAATTAATCACATCAAACCCTAGCCCCATATTTCAATGTTTCATTTCAAGAAATTACTGAAGGTAACAAACCCATTTGCTAAGATCACTCAAACTTAAGTTTTGACTATCCTGAAATTGGAAGTTTAATGAGTTCTATATCAGGCCCTTTCAAGATTATGGAAACCCTAGAAATAGAAATAATAGAGTAGTTTTATTTGGGACTGTAGAGGGATAGAATGGTAAAGAGAAGGGCAGAATCTAATTGCCTTTCTTAAATAACCCTAATTCAACTTTTGACTGGATTAAAGAGGGAACTTGATCTGAAACCCTAATCTGTAAGTTGATAGGCTATGGCCTCTGTGATTTCTAAAATGACATGTTATTAAGGAAACGTCAATTGGAGGAGTAAAGAGCAAATCACAACATGACAGCTTAGAGAGAGAGAAAAATGCACTAGAAGAAATGGCAAAGATGCCAAGAAAATGGAGATAGAGAAGGGAAAGCTAAGATTTTCGTTGTACTTTCTCATATCTCTTAACCTTACTTGTAAGTTTATTTGTACAACATATTTCTCTATATCTGTTTTAAACAGATCTATCTTTAAAATCAAAGAAGCAACTGAGAAGAAGCAACAAAAGAAAGGTTGGTGTTCTAAAGCTCATAAAGGAAAAGAAACAAAAACATAAAGCAAACAATTAGATAAGCAAATCTTTGTGACGAAGAAACTCAATCTTTTAACTGAACACCATATTTACTTTCTTATGTCAAGAAATCCACACACAAAATCTTGACTGACATAAGGCAATCAATCTGCATCTATTTGTTCTTAACAATAGAAAAAAAAACATAAATTGACACACACAAACAGAGAAAGAAAAATATTTGGAAAAACAGTTTAGCTGAAATTTTTTAGGTTAAAAGCAGATCTTGGCAAAAAATTGGTCATAAATATTGAACCTGTTATTGGCATATTCATATAGGCGACCACGGCTGGAGAAGACAATAAGGGCAACTTCAGCATCACAAAGTACAGAAAGCTCATAGGCTTTTTTAAGGAGGCCATTTCTACGCTTACAAAAAGTAACTTGTCGATTTGTAGTATTTTCAATCCTCTTGATTTCGATCTTTCCTCTTCCTGATTTCCTCTGAGAATTAGATGACTCAAATTCTTCATTAGGAAACACCATCTTCCCTTCTAAAGCTGAAAAAAGCAAAACCAATATCACGATCTCGTTAGCTGATAATTTCCTCAATCGGGGAAATTAAAAGTGTCGTCTAAGATAAATATATTTTGTGTGCATCCAAAACAAGCAAAACAACAATTTTTCTTAGACTTGCGTATGTTTGTAGTTACTTCTTGATACTTTTATTATGATGTTTTGATCAGGAAATATAGCAAGGATAAGGTAAAGAAATAAAGAAAGTCTACCTAGAATTTCTTGCAGAAAATTCTATTTTGTATAGCTTTGAACATGAGAGCTTGCAGAAAATGGAAGTGAGTTGCACAAGCAGAAGGGTAGTTATAGATAGGAAAAAATTGGACCGTCCAACCGCAATACTACTTTTTGCGTGTATGTCTACACTAAACTACAAATAATTTTTTTGATGTGGTGTAGGTAAGTGGTATTGAAGGAAAGTAACAAAAGAGGATGTAAAATTTTAGGTGTACACTTTGATTGAACTCCATATCAACCATCCATTTTCTCAAAGTATGGGAAAAAGGGAGTGAGAGACAGTAAGAGGCTCTTTTGAAAAGTGACAATTAATGGGATTGAATAGTTTGTTGTAAGTGCAGTCAACCCACAATTTAAATAGAGTAGAGAAAAAAAAGAAACTAGTAAACCCTTTATGTAATTTTTTTTTTAAAATTTCAGCTGTAGCCTGTTCAAGATTTCTTTCTATTGAATTCTGACCTCCTCTTTGTTTAAGAAAATATTCACAGCTCCAGTTCACACCTCCTCCCTGAATTTTTAGATGATTAAAGGAAGAAAAAGAGGAACAACAACAAACCCAATATAGTTCTATAAGTGGAGTTTGGGGAGGGTAGTGTGCACACAAGCCTTATCCCTATCTTTCCAATATACTCGGCTCAAGGAACAATAAAAACAAAACAACAAACAATAGTAACAAAAATGTAATAGTCTACGGAAGTAATGACATAACATGTAATAATAAAGAATCAAGAATAGTACTAGCACTACTGGTAAGTCTAGGAGAAACTCACAGCTGCGTCTCGACCTTCGGCCCTAATCTTCGACCCCCACATCTTCCTATCGTGGGTCATGTACTCAGTAAGCTGAAGTAATAACATATCTGGCCTAATCACCTCTCCCCAATATTTCATTGGTCTATCACCAAGGAGTGCGGAATGGATGGAAACTCTTCACTTTTAACTAGAAATTTTGAATTTAAATTTCAGAAATGAAAGAACTTTTTAGTAGAGAGCTTTTTACCTCTCTTAAAATGTTTCTTCTGATTTAGTGAATTTCAAGTATCCAATGGTTAAAGTAAAAATATATA